TTTGCAGCCAGACAATGCAATAGAAAAGAAAATTCCATTTCCTGAGAAGAAATTCAAGGTGGCTGCAGAAATTTGCGTAAGTAATGAGGAGACAAATGCTAATCTCCAAGACAACAGGTAAAATGTTTCCAGGGCATGCCAGAGGTCTTCACAGCAGCTCTTCCCATCAGGTCCTGAGGCCTAGAAGGAAAAAATGGTTTTGAGGGCTGGGCTCAGGGTCCCTGTGCTGTCTGCAGTCTAGGGACTTGATGTCCTGCCTCCAAGCCAGTCCAGAAGTGGTGAAAGGGGCCAACATAGAGCTTGGACCATGGCTTTAGAGGGTGTAGATCCCAAGCCTTGGCAGTTTCCACATAGTATTGAGCCTACAAGTGCACAGAAGTCAAAAATTGGGGTTTGGGAACCTCTGCCTAGAATTCACAGGATGTATGGAAATGCCTGGATGCCCAGGCAGAATTTTGCTGCTGGGGCAGGGCCCTCATGGATAACCTCTTAAAGGGCAGTGCAGAAGGGAAATGTAGGGTCAGAGCCCCAACACAAAGTCCCTACTGAGGAATCGCCTAGTGGAGTTGTGAGAAGAGAGCCACCATCCTCCAGACCCCAGAATGGTAAATCCACTGACAGCTTGCACTCATGCAGAAAACCCACAGACACTCAATGCAAGCCCATTAAAGCACCTGGAGGGAAGCTGTACCCTGCAAAGCCACAGAGGCAGAGCTGCCCAAGACAATGGGAACCCATCATTTGTAACAGCATGACCTGGATGTGAGATATGGAGTCAAAGAAGATCATTTTGGAGCTATAAGATTTGACTGCCCTGCTGGATTTTGGACTCACATTAGGCCTGTAACCTCTTTGTTTTGACCAATTTCTCCCCTTTGGAATGGGTGTATTTATGCAATTTCTATACCCCCATTGTATCTGGGAAGTAACTATCTTGCTTTTGATTTTGCAGGCTTATAGGCAGAAGAGACTTGCCTTGTCTCAGTTGAGACTTTGTATGGTGGACTTCTGAGTTAATGCTGAAATGATTTAAGACTTTAGGGGACTGTTGGGAAGGCATGATTGGTTGTGAAATGTGAAAACATGAGATTTGGGAGGGGCCAGGGGTGAAATGATATGGTTTGGCTGTGTCTCTACCCAAATCTCATCTTGAATTCCCATGTGTTGTAAGTGGGACCCGGTAGGAGGTAAATGAATCATGAGGGAAAGTCTTTCCTATACTGTTCTCTTGATAGTGAATAAGTCTCATGAGATCTGATGGTTTTAAAAAGGGGAGTTTCCTTGCACAAGCTCTCTTGTCATCTGCCACCATGTGAGACCTGCCTTTAACCCTCTGCAATGAGGGTAAGACCTCCACAGCCACATGAAACTGTTAGTCCATTAAATCTCTTTTGTTTGTAAATTGTCCAGTCACAGGTGTGCCTTATCAACGCATGAAAACTAATACAATAGCAAATAATAATGCAGTGTATATTCAAGGCAGCTAGAAGATGTTCAATGTTGTCACCACAAAGAAATTATAAAAGTTTAAAATAACACATATGTAATTACTCTGATTTGGTCATTATACAATTTACACATGTATTGAAACATCACGCTCCACCCCATAAGTATGCATAATTATTGTGTGTCAATATAAATAGAAATTAATTAAAAATAAAATTGATCATGGTGCATAAGAGTTAAAGGGGATCTTGTGAAAATAGTTACAGCTGTAATGTAGATAATAACAATAATATTAATAAAGCAGGATGAACATATCATAGCCATCTATTTCAATATTTTTAAAAGTTTTATTCTTTATCTATAAATACAAATTTAATTAGCTAATATGTTTCCATTTTCATTTCATGCAGAGGACCTTAGTCATAACTAGATGTGTAATTCAGTATCTGATAGATTAAATTTTTTTGAAGGAAATGATGACTCAATGACATAAAAGTCTTGACCTTTCACTTTCCCAGGGTGGTATCTTTTTATGCATATATAGCATCATGGAAGAGGGTTTTCTGGCTCATGTCCACCCTCTGGTGTTTTCTGTGATTGTGGTGTACTTTGCTTCAATTGACTGCTATCATCATATGCTAACAGGTGTGCTGAGGTTCACAGTTCTGCCATGGCCTTCAGCTATTAGGTCTAAGTAAACTGATTCTTCCTCTTTATCTGTATGCAGTTCTGCCAGTCTTCTCTTAGTATTACATCATGCTTCCCTACCATTCTTTGAAGGAAACTGGGATATGTCTCAGGTTCAGCTATTGCTACTCTGTTGATCTGACATCACAAGGGAAGTGGGGCTTTAATAAAGTAATTAGTGTATTCCCCATGGCTATTACATAGAAAGCAAGGCATATGTTCTCTCTGTTCTCTCATCACAAGACTAACTTAAAATCTCTATTTCCCTCTCTATCTCATGGTAACCAAGGATAAGAAAGATAGAGCTAGGGACCCTCAAAGGAGATCGCCTATGTTTTATATAATTGCTCTCCTCTACCAATTCACTTCTTGTTTCATGTATCTTGTTGACTGCTTTTTTTCCGGAAAGAAAATTATCTTCGGTTCTACATTATCATGCATTCTTACTCTGTCTGTCTGTGTGTGTGTGTGTGTGTGTGTGTGTGTGTGTGTGTGTGTAATTTTATGGTTTGTCTCTGATATTTTAGGTTAATCTTGGAATTCAAAATAACTCAAGCCCATTGTTTTCAAGACTATAAATAGCATCCAGAAGCTCAATAGATTTAATTGTTTAGCCTATATCTACTTTCTCTCTGAGAATGTTATTATTCATAAGAAACTGTTTAAATAAAGTGAGTGAAAATCTATAACAGCACAGGGAATGAAGTTAGGGATTTTATTTAACATCCCAAATATTGAGTATTAATCTTACTAAAAATTTCTATGCATCCAACACTATACCTTGTGTTTTATAGAAGTTATTTTACTTATTTCTAAAAAAAAACTAATGATGCAATTTATATTCTTTTAGAAACAGAGTTAAATAGCTTATTAAGGGAGAACTACACCAAGTCTTTCATTTTGTAGATAAGAACACTGAGATTTCGAATGTTAGATTAATTTAAATAAGAATATGCTGCTTGTCAATGAAAAACTAGGACTAGAACCTGATTCCAGATGCTGTCTCGGCTTTATATTAATCAGATAGTTAGGTGTCACATATATCCACTTTAGTTTGAATGAAGTTATTAGCCTCTTTGGAGACAGGCCTCCAATTCAAGGTGAGTTTCACAACCTAGTTATGTGATCCCTGAAAGAAATAAGCATGGTATTGGTACAAAAACAGACACATAGATAACCGGAACAGACTAGAGAACCCAGAAATAAAACCACACACTTACAAACATCTGGTCTTAGACAAACTAAACAAAAATAAGCAATGGGGAATAGACTTCTTATTCAATAAATGTTGCTGGGATAACTGGCTATCAATATGCGGAAGAATGAAATCAGACCCCTAACTATCACCATACATAGAAATTAACTCAAGATGGATTAGAGACTTAAATGTAAGATGTAAAACTATAAAACTCCTAGAATAAAACTTGGGCAATACACTTTTTTTTTATTGTACTTTAGGTTCTGGGGTACATATGCAGATCACCCAGGATTGTTGCATAGGTACATACATGGCAAGGTGGTTTGCTGCCTTCATCCCCCCATCACCTGTATCTGGTATTTCTCCCCCTTATTATCCCTCCTCACCCTCCTGACACCTCACTGACCCTCCCCTAGCCCCCCACAACTGACTGCAGTGTGTGATGCTCCCCTCCCTTTGTCCATGTGTTCTAATTGCTCACCACCCACCTGTGAGTGCTAACATGCAATGTTTGGTTTTCTGTTCTTGTGTCAGTTTGCTGAGAATGATGGTTTCCAGATACATCCATGTCCCTGTGAAGGACACAAACTCATCGTTTTTTATGGCTGCATAGTAATCCATGGTGTATATGTGCCACATTTTCTTTATCCAGTCAATCGTTGATAGACCTTTGGCTTGGTTCCAGGTCTTTGCTATTGTAAACAGTGTCCCAATGAACATATGTGTGCATGTGTCTTTATAATAGAACAATTTATAATTATTTAGATATATACCCAGTAATGGGATTGCTGGGTCAAATGGAATTTCTATTTCTAGGTCCTTGGAATCGTCACACTGTCTTCCACAATTATTGAACTAATTTACACTCCCACCAACAGTGTAAAAGTGTTCCTGTTTCTCCACATCTTCTCCAGCATCTGTTGTCTCCAGATTTTTTAATGATCGCCATTCTAACTGGCATGAGACGGTATCTCAATGTAGTTTTGATTTGCATTTCTCTAATGACCAGTGTTGATGAGCATTTTTTCATATGTTTCTTGGCTGCAAAGATGTCTTCTTTTGAAAAGTTTCTGTTCATATCCTTTGCCCACTTTTAAATGGGTTTGTTTTTTTCTTATAAATCTATTTTAGTTCTTGGTAGATTCTGGATATTAGCCCTTTGTCAGACAGGTAGAGTGCAAAAATTTTTTCCCATTCTGTTGGTTGCCGGTTTGCTCTAATGATTGTTTCTTTTGCTGTGCAGAAGCTCTTAAGTGTAATTAGATCCCATTTGTCTATTTTGGCTTTTGTTGCCAATGCTTTTGGTGTTTTAGTCATGAAGTCCTTGCCTATGCCTATGTCCTGAATGGTTTTGCCTAGGTTTTCTTCTACGGTTTTTTATGGTGTTAGGTCTTATGTTTAGATCTTTAATCCATCTGGAGTTAATTTTAGTGTAAGGTTTCAGTACACTTTTTGATATCAGCCTTGGCAAATAATTTATGGCTAAGTCCTCAAAAGCAATTGTATCAAAAACAAAAATTATCAATAGAGGTTTTGCACAGCAAGAGAAACTATCAATATCAAAGGAGTAAACCGACAACCTACTTCACAAACTATGCATGCATAAAGATCTAATATCCAGGGAGCGGGGCGAAGTGGGCCGAGCCGTGGGCCAGGCCGGGCCTGGCAGGGCCGGGGCGCGGGCCGGCGGGAAGACGGCGAACGTGGGGCTGCAGTTCCAGGGGCTGCTGCTCGGGCAGCTGCACCACCTGCACCGCGTGCCCTGGAGCCACATCCGCGGGAAGCTGCAGCCCCGGGTCACCGAGGAGGTCTGGCAGGCCGCCCTGAGCACCCTCAACCCCAACCCCACGGACAGCTGTCCCCTCTACCTGAACTACGCCACCGTGGCTGCCCTGCCCTGCAGGGTGAGCCGGCACAACAGCCCCTCGGCTGCCCACTTCACCACGCGGCTGGCGCGGACTCACCTGCCGCCCGGAGTGCATCGCTGCACTGTGATGGTCTACGAGCAGCCTGAGGTCTTCGCCTCCGCCTGTGCCCGGGCCCGGGCCTTCCCGCTGTTCACCCACCGCTCAGGTGCCTCTCTGCGCCTGGAGAAGACGGTCACTGTGGAGTTTTTCCTGGTGGGACAATGACGACGGGCCAGTGGAGGTGTCCACACTGCAGTGCTTAGCAAATGCTACAGAAGGCGTGCGGCCAGCAGCCCGCATCGTGGACACACCTTGCAACGAGATGAACACCAACACCTTCCTTGAGGAGATTAACACAGTTGGAACAGAGCTGGGGATTGTCCCAACCATCATCCGGGATGAGGAACCGAAGACCAGAGGATTTGGAGGAATCTATGGGGTTGGCAAAGCCGCCCTGCACCCCCCAGCCCTGGCAGTCCTCAGCCATACCCCAGAGGGAGCCACGCAGACCATTGCCTGGGTGGGCAAAGGCATCGTCTATGACACTGGGGGCCTCGGCATCAAAGGGAAGGATAAGTAATGGAGATAGGCGAATTGGAAGCTTTTATGTGTATGATTAAAGCGCAACGGTAGCCACGGCAATTTTTAAAACTTCAATGAACAACAGGTTTTTGGAGGAGGATTATGTTATCGTTGACATTGTTCAGAGACACCAGCACACCGTGGTAATAAGCAAACTGACTTTTAGTCGCTTTACTGTGATTCCTAGATTCGCCACAGATAATGCACCCCCTAATGCCTGCGCCTGGTACTGTCTGCCCCCACCCTCGCACCCTCAGTACCCACAGTCTCCCTAGAAGCCGCTACATTCCGGCTGGTAGAGTCACGGACCCTCATCTCCTTGGATCAGATGCTTGTTTTTGATGTCGGCTTGTTGTGGATCAGTGTGAGAAGCTGGACTTCCTGGGAATTCATTCTCTTGCTTGTGGCACTAACTCTGGTCACTTAGGGAAAATGTCGTTGCACCCGATTTCATCTCATGTGGCCGTGGGTGCACCTGTGCAGTAAGGCAGCTCCTGGCCTGGAAATTAACACAAAGGAGAAACCTGACCACACAGGCCTTCCCTAGAGGCCACAGCGGCACAGCCTCCAGGGAAGCCATGGTCTGAGGGTGGCTGGTAGAGCTGCCAGAGAGTAGGGGATTTTCCATGGTTCCAAACCACCTTCTGAAAACGAGACCATAGGCCCTGCCTATTCCCCGGGGTCCACCTGGTCTGCAGACCCCATAATACATGGAATAGCTGGGCGTTCTGGCACCAGCAAAACAATACCTGTTTTTCTATTTTAAACCCACCCATCTTCCCTGCTGTGTTTGGAACTGTTCTATGTGGATTTGGGATCAACCAACAGGCCTTTCCTGAGCTGTTACTGTGTGGAGTGGGCACTGAGGCCCAGCCATTGATGGAAAGACCCAAATCCTGACCTGAAGGCGCTCAGAGTCTCACCGAAGGGCCTGGTGTGACACAGGAACGCAGCGAGCATTCTCCCCAGGGCTGCCTCGAGAGAAGATTGTGCAGAAGTGGTCACTCCTTAAAAAGCAAGCTGGGTGGAGCCAGCCAGGCTCCCAGTTTCGCAAGAAAAATTACAGCTCCATTTCCAAAGATTTCAAGGGCAGATCAAGATCAGCCTGGACTGATCCGCAGGCCTCAAATGCATTATTGGGGTCCCCTTTCCACTCTTTACAAGTATCAGCCCCAAGAAGGCTTTGTGTATGAGTGATGTCTACTGATATTTACTTTACTTGAAATGAAAGTGAGAAATTTGTAACATATGTATAATTCATTAAAAATAACATATAAATCCACTGCATGTTACCATAAACAATGTAGTTTTACAAAGATAACTATTTTCCAAAATGCAAAAACATTTACTGAGAGTGTAGCATTGTTGTATATTTTCGTAAATCCTGTCAGTGGCTGGCTTAATAGAAGACTTATATCTGCTTCTGATTTAGTCTATGGAAATATGCTGTTTCAGTTGAACTGTATCAAGAAAATCTGGCCTCACACATTTTATAGTTGGAACAGGCAAAAGGATTTTATAGTACCTTTTTCACTAACTATGAACATTCTGTGTTATTATACCAAAACTCACCAAGTGGTAGTTTCTTAAAGGCTGGTGATAACGTGGAATCTGAAGCCTCACGAGTAGACTTTTGTATCCCATGGCAGTTAAATCTACTGTTCTCTCTCGAACTGTGAACATGTGCTTTTTGTAATATGTATGTTCATGAGAAATATTGGTTCACAGAGTTCTGCAGAAATTCAAATTTTTGACACTTTTCATTATATAGTATCAAAAAAACCACTAATATCACCATTCATCTCATCAGAAAAGTCACTGAGTATGAGGAAGTTGCCATGGTGACAGGAGAAAGTTTTTCAAAATTCTGACTTTTGCTTAAAAGCTCAAATGTATACCATTGGCAATAAATAATGTCAGCTGTTTCTGGGAAAGAAAAAAAAATCTAATATCCAGAATCCATAAAGATCTTAAAGCAATAATCAAAAAAGAAATATATTAAATCTTGGTAGCTGAAAAGGCAAGGCACCTTTCACCCTATACTTTATCAGGACTCTTCCCATTATTCTTTGAATTTTACCCTTGCATATAAATTTGATATGTTTGTCTAGGTTTTTGAAAAACTCTCTTTTAATTGTAGTTAAAAATTATTTAAAGCCGTGAAAAATATTTAAAATCAGGGAAACCTGACATCTTAAAATACTGAATTATCCTATTTAAAAAGATGGTATCTCATTTTTTAGGTATTCTGAAGTGGTTTTCATAATTCTATGTATTTTTTTCTGGATAGATTGTACACAGCTTTTACTATGTTTTTCATTTACATTTATTGCTATTGTTTATAATAAATATTACATTTTAAAAATCATATTTTCTAAATGTATGCTTTGTATATTTGTATATATTGATTATATATCCAGAAAACTTACTAAATTTCTAAACTTATTTCTGGATAGATGTTCCATATGCCCTTGAAAAGACTGTTTTGGGTATTTCCAATATTAGGTGGAGTGTTCTTTAAATATGAGTTAGATCATGCTGTGTCTACTTGTTCTATCAGTTGTTTAGAGAATGATAACAAAATCTCTGACTTTAACTATAGATTTCTTAATCCTTGCAAGCTGCATCAGTTTATACTTCAGGTATCATGAAGTTTTGTTATTAGGTGTATGTATTGGTTCATTTTCACACTGCTATAAAGAACTGCCTGAGACTGGGTAATTCATAAAGAAAAAAGGTTTAATTGACTCAAAGTTCCATACGGCTGGGGAGGCCTCAGAAAACTTAGAATTATGGAGAGAGAGAAAGAGGAAGAGGCATGTCTTACATGGTGGTAGGCAAGAGAGAGAGTGTGTGTAGGAGGAAATATCAAACACTTATAAATCTGTCAGATCTCTTAAGAATTCACTCACTATCATGAGAACAGCATGGGGGAAACCACCCCCATGACCTAATCACCTGCCACCAGGTCCTGCCCTCAACACATTGGGATTATGGGAATTACAGTTTGAGATGAGATTTGGGTGGGGAAACAGAACTAAACCATATCAATGTATAAAATGTTAGAATTATTATATTATCTTAATTGACCTTATCTTCATTATTAAATTATTCATTCTATTCCTGATAATCTGTTGTTGTGAACCCTATTTTGCCTAATATTAGTACAGTTATTACAACTTTCTTTAGATTAGTGTTGACAAAGTGTATCTTTTTCATTCTTTGACTTTAAATCAGTTTCTTTATACTTAAAATGGGTTTCCTGTAGGCAATATAAATTTGAATCTTAAAAAATACAATTTAACAATATTTTATATTTTTGGGCTATTTAGACCATTTATATTTAATATATTTATTAGTATGGTTGGGTATAAATCTGACAGCTTTCCATTTGTTTTCTGTCTGTCACATTTGTTCTTTGTTCTTTTTTTCTCCTTTTCAGGCTTCTTTTGAATTTAGCACTTTTTACTCTTTTATTATTCCATTTTAGCTTCTATGTTTGCTTACTCAATTTTTTATCGGTTTTTGTAAAATGTATACAGTGTACAATTTTACACAATTTGTCTTCAATTAATATTATATGAAATCATATTTTGTAGAACTTTACAATAATATGGTTTTATATCTTCACTTTAATTTTTCAGGCTGTGATGTCAGGTATTTTTACTTTTACATATATTATAAACCCCACAGTTCATTGTTATTATTTTTGTTGAACATTTAATTATATTTTATGGGATTTTAAAATTTAAATTTAAAAAAATCTACCCACTTATTTACCATTTTAGGTACTCCATATTCCTTTCTGTGGATTCATATTTATACCTGGTATCATTTTCTTCCTGCTTGTAGGATATTTCTTAACAATATTTATAGTATAGCTTTATTGGTGATGAATTATTTTGACTTCGTATATCTACAAATGTTTTCATTTAACCTTAATATTTGAAAGATATTTTTGTAAGATGACAGTATCTTTTTTCTTTCATCACTTTAAAGATGTTCACCCACAGTCTTTTGGTTTGGCTTTGTTTCCAACAAGAAATCTGCTGTCATTCCTGCTAAGAATGCTTCTGTCACAAGAAACATTCTTTGTACTTGTCAAAGATGAGTACACATACAAAGAATGAGACAGCTATGCATGGGCATCAGAAAACTCAATAGACAAAATAAACACGTGCAAAAACTTGATATATAGTATCAAACATAGACTATCAACCACAGATTAAAATAGTAAATTATCTGATTAAGAATGAAAAGAAAACCAAGTTTGAAAATTATAGCAGGAAACTGAAATTGTATAGACTAAAATAACAAATTTGAAAAACAGGAATTCCAGGAATAAAAATACAATAATCAAAATTAAAAACTCAGTGGATAATTTTAATAGCAGCATAGATACAGCCAAAGAGAGCATTGGTGAAATGGATGATAGGAAGAAATTATGAAATATGCAGCTGGAGAGACAAGGGATGGAAAATAGAAAAGAGTGGAAGAAATTTTGTTTTTCCAAAAATTAAAATTGTGAAATATTTCCAGGGATATTGCCATGATCTCCAGGGAGCACTGACAGTGCTCTGTCTTCTGGGGTGCATGTAGCACATTGGGTAGGTTCAGTGGCCTTTTTATCAGAAAGACAATATTCCAAGGAAATCCATGAACAACATTGGATATGATATCAGATTGTACCAAAGTTGCAGTCCAAGTATACAGAAAGAATTTGTAGTAAATACCCTGACAAAAATAACCCTAATATAGCATCAGATTGTAAGAAAGTTTTGCTCTGGGCACACTTGAGCACAAGGGTGAAATGGGAGCCAGGAGTTTGTTCACAAAAATACCTAAAGTGTTTTTATAAGTTGGTATTTTATAAAAAGTAGAGATGTTCATCCACTTTAACTGAGAGTGGATGAACCCAGACCACAGGGTAAAAACTACATGACAATTTATATTATATGACAATTTATAAATAATTTCAAAACAATATTTTGGTATTTACTTCCACTTTTGCATTAGAAAATGATAAAACTTTTAGCCAGATGTACCTAAGGGAATTGTTTCTGTTCTGGTTCTAACTAGGTCTCTCTTCATTCAGAGTGGTGCCTAAATTCCATGCATGTCAAAGACCTTTGCTCTTATGGTTGTTTCCTTATACTGAAATTTTGTTAATAATATTTATTTATTTAATCAAACAATTAAATAAATAAATATTATTAACAATTCTGGATCTGCTATGATAGTTCAAATGTTGTTTTCTAATTGTCATCCGTATAGTCTCTAAGCCCCTCATATTAACCTGTATTACAAAGATCAAGAATGGAAAATACATTGAGATAGTTTATGGAATAAGTCTACCATTATCTAATCTATATAAAGTGAATCTTTTAAAAATTTGATTGTCATCAAATGGATTCTAAGTATTTCCTAGATTAAAACTCTTTGAAGGCAGGGATCATATTAAGCTCATTGTTTTGCATTGTTAATACCAAGTTTAGTGTAATACATAGAAGAGGTACTCAGTGTTGAATAAGCAAGAATGAATAAATGAAAAAATGTTTTATGAACTTTAAAATGTATAATTATCATGCTTATGTATGCTATTTTTTCCTATATGTACATAAGATGGAGGCTTATTCAGTGTTTCCAAAAGGTATTTTGTTATTAATGTGCCCTATAAAAATATTTAGATATTAAAATTTCTACATATGGACATGTGTGGTTACAGGTTTGGTAGGGAGTTGTGTCAGCTCACTTACATATGTCTCATTATCTTTTATGTAGTGAGAATCACATTAAGAAATCTCATCTCTGTTTTCTTAGCTTAGGACACAGATATGATATGGATGAGGTCCACTTCATTAACTGCTGCTTTTCAAACCTAAGTAATTTTTTTCTTGTGTTTAGTTCAAAAAGAGTTTCAACAAAATAGAAAAATACTGATTTAAGTTTACTTTTTAATTTAAATTGAAACTAATCTAAACCAGACTTCTGTTTGGGGTTTCATTCAACTCCCAGCTCAAGGATAAATACTAATTTTAGTCAGTAATTTTGAAT